CAGAGAAGGGCGACGAAGCTGGTGAGGGGTCTGGAGAACAAGTCCTATGAGGAGCGGCTGAGGGAGCTGGGCTTGTTCAGCCTGGAGAAGAGGAGGCTCAGGGGCGACCTTATCGCTCTCTACAGGTACCTTAAAGGAGGCTGTAGTGAGGTGGGGGTTGGTCTGTTCTCCCCTGTGCCTGGTGACAGGACGAGGGGGAATGGGCTTAAGTTGCGCCAGGGGAGTTTTAGGTTGGATGTTAGGAAGAACTTCTTTACTGAAAGGGTTGTTAGACATTAGAACAGGCTGTCCAGGGAAGTGGTGGAGTCACCATCCCTGGAAGTCTTTAAAAGACGTTTAGATGTAGAGCTTAGGGATATGGTTTAGTGGGGACTGTTAGCGTTAGGTCAGAGGTTGGACTCGATGATCTTGAGGTCTCTTCCAACCTAGAAATTCTGTGATTCTGTGATTCTGTGAAAAGGGCCTGGGCTGAGACAGGGAACAAGATAAAGGATTGTTGGTGTTTAACCCAGTCGGCAGCTAAACACACAGCCGTTCGCTCACCCTCCCACCTCCCTCTCTGGGATGGGGAACAGAAACGGGAAAGTGAAGCCTGTGAGTTGAGATAAAGACAGTTTATTGAGACAGGATAACAATAATAATAATAATAATATGTACAAAGCAAGTGATGCACAATGCAATCGCTCACCACCTGCTGACCGATGCCCAGCCTAACCCTGAGCAGCCAGTCCCCCCACCCCAGCTAGCCACCCCTATATATTGTTCAGCATGACCCCAGATGGTATGGAATACCCCTTTGGCCAGTTTGGGTCAGCTGTCCTGGGTCTGTCCCCTCCCAGCTCGTACTGCACCCGTAGCCTGCCTGCTGGCAGGACAGAGCAAGAAGCTGAAAAGCCCTTGGCTTGGTGTAAGCACTGCTCTGCTACAGTTGCCACTGCAGGCTTCCATTCTTCTGCATTATTGGCCTCCCTCCCTTCTCTGTGTACTTGTAGGGGAGTTTCTGTTTGTTTGGCTGTGGGTCCACTACAGACTACGCTTGGAACCAGCTAAGTCTTCCTGAATCTCCCTGACGTTACACAGCCTTCTCACTGCCTCCTGCAGCTGAGCCATCCAGGGGGTCCTCCCCCTGGGCACATTTTTTCAGGCAGGTCTACTGCCTATCCTTGCCACAGGAGAAAGATCTAGGCATTATCTCCACTCTGAGGTGTGCACTGCAGTCTTTCCCTTCAGCAGCTCCATCTGGGTGGAGGCATCAGCCAGCACTGGTGTAGATGGTGCAGAGCCCCAGCTGGAGCTTTACTCTTGGATGAGTCCTGCACATTCTGCCTTAAGGCTCAGGTTGGAGGAGTGCCCTTGAGCAAAGCAAATCACCACTGAGCAGTCCCCAGTTCTTGGGTTAAACATGTGTTGAATGTCCCACTCTGCCAGTACAATAGCCGTCTTTCTAAGAGGTGTCCACCCTGTGCCCTTCCACACACACTGCATCATAAATTGTCCTCCCTGGTCGTCGCTCTCTCTAGGGCTTCCTTTTATAAGTGTGGGGGTTGGTCACTGTTGTTCCTGGCACTGCCCAAGCCCCATCAGCTGCTCTCATGAGAGCTGCCAGCTGTTAGCGGTTCTGTCACCCTAGGCTTCCCTTGGTAGAGGAAAACATCCCGTACAGTGTGAACCTTCACTCTGCTGCAGATTGTTCAGGCACAAGTGTTGATCACCACGGCAAGTGATTTAGACACATGAAATTCAATGTCGATACAAGAAAACACTTTCTTACTGTGAGACTGGTCAGACACTGCAACAGATCGCTCAGAGAAGTTGTGTATACAAATCTGAGAAACTCCAAACTCTGTGGACTGTGTATTGAACACCAGCTCAAGCTGATGCTGCATGAATGCGTACGTTGGACTAAGGGGTCTCTGTGCTTGAAGGAACTTAAAAAATATAATGCATTTGGTTCTGTCTGACTTTCACGGAAGCACTCAGCAGCCTCTTTTGTCACTCTCCAAAGCCTCAAGGTCCTCCTTTCTCACGCATTCTCCACTTCCCAAGCAGAATAAGAAGAATAAGAGTCAAGACCTGTGAAGCTGTAACTCTGCAGTTCCTGGCAGGGAAGAGCTTGACCTTCCCTTACTGGATGAAGTCCCAACCCCACTGACTTCCCCTGGTGCGGCAGGGAAGCATGTGAATCAGCACACAGCAGCTTCACAGAGACCCACTGCAAAGCCACATTTGACGAACCTCATCTCCTTCTGACCAACCTCATCTCCTTCTATGACCAGGTAACCTGCCTGGTGGATGAGGGAAACCTGTTAACGTAGTCTACCTAGACTTCAGCAAAGCCTTTGACATGGTCTCACACAGTAGTCTTCTGGAGAAGGTGGCAGCCCATGGCTTGAACAAGTACACTCTTTGCTGGCTTAAAAACTGGCTGGATGGGCAGGCCCAGAGAATGGTGGTGAATAGAGTTAAATCCAGCTGGTGACCAGTCACCAGTGGTGTTCTCCAGTGGTCGGTGTCGGGGCCCTAACTCTTTAATATGTTTACTGATGACTTGGATGGGGAAATTGAGTGCTCCCTCAGTAAGTTTGCAGACGACGCCAAATTGTGGGGACGTGTCAGTCTGCCAGAGGGTAGGAAGGCCATGCAGAGGGACCTGGACAGGATGGGTCAATGGGCAGAGGCCAAGGGGATGATGTTCAACATGGCTAAATGCTGGGTCCTGCACTTTGGTCACAACAACCCCATGCAACACTACAGGCTTGGGGCAGGGTGGCTGGAAAGCTGTGCAGAGGAAAAGGACCTGAGGGTGTTGGTCGATGCTCGCCTGAACGTGTGCCAGCAGTGTGCCCAGGTGGCCAAGAAGGCCAACAGCATCCTGGCTTGTGTCAGGAATAGTGCAGCCAGCAGGACCAGGAAGGTGATCGTCCTCCTGTACTCTGCTCTGGTGAGGCAGCACCTCGAGTGCTGTGTTCAGCTTTGGGCCCCTCATTACAAGGACATTGAGGCCCTGGAGCGTGTCCAGAGAAGGGCTACAAAGCTGGTGAAGGGCCTGGTCCACAAGTCCTGTGAGGAGCGGCTGAGGGCGCTGGGGGTGTTTGGTCTGGAGAAGAGGAGGCTCAGGGGAGACCTCATTGCTCTCTCCAGGTACCTGAAAGAGAGGTGTGGGGAGCTGGGGGTTGGCCTCTTCTCACAGGTAACTAGTGACAGGACTAGAGGGAATGGCCTCAAGTTTCACCAGGGGAGGTTCAGGTTGGGAATTAGGAGACATTTCTTAGAGAGAGGGATTAGGCATTGGAATGGGTTTCTCAGGGAGGTGGTGGAGTCACTGTCCCTTGGGGGTCCCAAGGAGAGGCTGGATGTGGTATTTAGGGACATGGTTTAATGGGTGATAGCAGTGGTAGGGGGATGGTCTTGGACATCTTTTGATGATCTTGGACATCTTTTCCAACTTTAATGATTCTACGATGGTTCTGCAAATAGCTGGTGCCAACTGCACATAAGTCACCTGTGCTATGCACGGCATGTATTTTACAATGAGGAATTTGGAGGAGGTGTCTATTGGGTTTACATGACAAGGTTTGGGTAGTGAGGTGGGGGTGCAGGGGTGGGCAGGAGCTGTCCTGTGTTAGAGAAGAGCCAGCTCCAAAAGAGACCTGCTGTGGGCCAGAGTTGAGCCAGTGAGCAATGCTGATTGAGTCTCTCAAAGGGCACATTGAAGAAAGGATAAAAAATGCTGCACAGCAGCTGGAGAAAGTGAGTAAGAAAATATGAGGGCAGTAACTGTGCAGACACCAAGATCAGTGAAGGAGGGCAGGAGGTGCTCCAGGTACCACACAGAAGTTCCCCTGCAGCCTGTGGACAGAACCATTGTGATGCTGTCTGTCCCACTGCAGCCCATGGAAGAACCCATGCTGGAGCAGGTGGACGTGCCTAGAAGGAAGATGCAGCTTGTGGAGAAGAACCCATCCTGGAGCAGGTTTGTGGAAGCAGATGCGACCTGTGGGGGACCTATGCTGGAGCAGTCCTTTCCTGAAGGACTCCATCCCATCCAAAGGAGCAGCTTGGGAAGGAATGCATCCCATAGGAGGTACCCTGCACTGCAGCAGGGGAAGAGCATGAGGAAGAAGGAACATCAGAGATGAAGCATTATGGACTGACTGCAACTCCCATTCCCCATCACTTGTGCTGCCCAGGGCAGGAACAGGCAGAAGAACAGAGATTGAAGTTGAGTGTGGAAAGAAAGGGAGTGTGAGCAAAAGTGTTTTTTTTTTTTTTTTTTTCTTCAGTTCTCACTGTCCTACTGTTATCAACTGGCAAAAAATTAAATTAATCTTCTCCAAGCTGAGTCTGTGATGACTGATGGTAATTAGTAAGCAATCTCTGTCCTCATCTCCAACCACAGGTTTCTTCATTTTATTTCTCTCCCTGTCCTGCTTTGGAAGGGAAGTGAGAGCACAGCTGGGTGGGCATATGGAGGCCCACCCACTGTGATATGCCATGTCCTAAACTGTGAGCCATGCACATCAGCAACTATTTTGAGTGTGTAAAGGTTATGTTTCCTATGCTAACCTTAAATGTTAGCATGTGGAAATCAGGAGATTGTTTTGGCCCTACAGTCACTAGAAATGATGCATAAAAAGCAATGTATCCTTAAAACACCTTATACTATTCAAGAAAGCACCTATTTCACTTTTGCAGCAATACTATCATAATGATAGGTTTATAAGAGCAGTCTGGAGTTCACCTATCCCAGTATATGCCTTCTGGTGCTACATGCTCAGGGAACATAAGAACAAGGCTCATGTCGTGCCATGTCATGTGTACTGTACTCCAGCCTCCAGCAGTTTGCCATCTGAGGACTCACTGGAACCAACAACTCTTTTACTGGACTTCTTTTCCGTTAATTTGTCTAATGCCTTTCTAAATCTGTGTGAACTATTAGAATCTCAAACTTCCCTTCTCTACAGGAAAGTACCGGTTGTGTGGATATATATATATATATATTTTGATCTTGTCTCTTCAGTTTCATTTGATGTTCCCTGGTTCCTGTAATGGAAGGAAGAGCCAACAAGTAATCCAAAAGCTACTTACGCAAGCAATTTTGAGCAAATGCCATATCTCCCTTTGTCTTTTGCCCTGCATCTGCATCACAGAGTTATCAGCTTCTTTGATGTTATTTAAAGCCACTTCAATCTTTGGAAGCAAGTCAATAATCTTCTGCTTGCAGCCCAAGAGCTTGCTGAAATTAAAACAAAACACAGTTACTTTTCTACTTGTGTGGCAATACACTTTGGCAAGACCAAGGTTGCCTCATCTTGGGATTCATGAAAACACCTGTGAGAACAGCCCTTTCCCTTAGCACAACACTGTGATGCAGGTACAATAGCCACAAGACTGGAGAGGCCCCTGGACTTTGCTAAGTCCAGTTAAGACTCAAAAAAGTGGGCAGACAACACACAACAATACCCAGAATATAAGCTATTCTTATATGAGATAAAAAAATTGGTCCTAATGACGATGAACAACAGAGAAACTCAACCACGGTGTGGTGTTTTAATTTTCTTTGGTCTGTGCTGGTCTCTGTGGGCTGACCATACTTTAGCTAGCAACTTTTTTTTTGTGGCATAAGCTACATCTGAAAGTAGAACTAGGTCATGTTTTGTTGATTACTGAGATATACATATTATTTCTTTTGTTGATCTGTTTGAAAATTTAATGAACAAATCAATGTTATCTTCTCAACTGTTACAATGTTCTTTATTTTTAAAAAAAATAATCCCAACCTAAGCACTGGCAGAATTTGTCACATTTTAGAGCAGCCTCTTGGATGCTAACAGTACAAACCATTACGTTCTCCTCCCTTTTGCTACTAGTAGCATACATTATCTGTATTTTAAAAGCGTTAGGTGGAAATTCAACTCTGACAAAGGAGCAGAATTAATACTGCTATGAGAAGTTCACATTTGTGAACACATCATCTGGGTTCTGTTCTCCATGGTTTTCCTCTCCTTTCCTGCTACAAAGATACAAATACTGAAAGTTGCATTTGTTTGTTTTTCTGCATAAATACCTGAGATGGCCGAAAAGTTCCTTGAGAACTCGGTCTTGACTCTGAACTGTCTGCACAATAATCTTCACCATGTCCGTGCTGTCACTGTAGGCATGATCTGGAAGGGACATCAATCACCATATAAGTATAATACTCTTCAGTGAGGAGCCACTGTGGATACAGATGCCCAGCACCAAGGAAAGTCACTGAATACGTGCAGTCACATAAACAAACAATTAAAAAAATCTGAAATTAGCTAAAATCTCTCATTAGGCACAGCTTTTCCTTAATGTCTCTTCTCTCCACAGATATGTATACAATTCCAGCAACTCTTGCTGCCCAGATACTGGTTTCAATAAGGTCTGCATGTGGCTGCCAAACACGTAAGTAACTGACTCTTCCTGCTCATGAGCTACTATGTTCAGAACACCTAACACCCAGACATGGGGCTCCATCCAGTATAATTAAGAGGTAGGAGCAGGAGAAGAAAAGACTGCTCTTTGACTGGAGTGATGACAGAGCTCTTCCTGAATCTGGGGGGAATAAAGGACTACCCTGTAACTGGGACAGGAAAAAAAATGCCTGGAGGCAGACAGACTTCTTCAAGGCTGATGCTCCAAGTCTGAAAATTGTAGGACAAACTCATGTCTGAGGAACAGTGCTACAGGAATTTGGTTGATGCTTGCCTGAACATGCACCAGCAGTGTGCCCAGGTGGCCAAGAAGGCCAACGGCATCCTGGCTTGTATCAGGAATAGTGCAGCCAACAGGACCAGGAAGGTGATCGTCCTCCTGTACTCTGCTCTGGTGAGGCAGCACCTCGAGTGCTGTGTTCAGCTTTGGGCCCCTCATTACAAGGACATTGAGGCCCTGGAGCGTGTCCAGAGAAGGGCTACAAAGCTGGTGAAGGGCCTGGTCCACAAGTCCTGTGAGGAGCGGCTGAGGGCGCTGGGGGTGTTTGGTCTGGAGAAGAGGAGGCTCAGGGGAAACCTCATTGCTCTCTCCAGGTACCTGAAAGAAAGGTGTGTGGAGCTGGGGGGTCAGCCTCTTCTCATAGATAACTAGTGATAGGACTAGAAGAAATGGCCTCAAGCTGCACCAGGGGAGGTTCAGGTTGAGAATTAGGAGACATTTCTTCTCAGAGAGAGGGATTAGGCATTGGAACGGGTTGACCAGAGAAGTGGTGGAGTAACCGTCTCTGAGGGTGTTTAAGAAAAGGTTGGACGTGGTACTGAGGGACATGGTTTAATGGGTGATATTTGTGGTATAGATTGGACCACATCTTTGGTTCAGATCTTGAACATATTTTCCAGCCTTAATGATTCTATGATTCTATGATCTACAGGAGAGGCCTGGGAGCCCCCATCCCTACACACAACAGGATTTCTCTCCAGTTCTGAGGAGTCCTCCTTTCTGTGAGTGATTGACTTGGTGGAGGCATATCTGCGCTCTGACCTCCCGCTATGGCCTGCAGACATGTGCTTCTCAGGGTTGGCCTTGGGTCCTTTGTAGCAAGCCCTCAGAGGTGATAAAGTTTTTCCTGAGGGTTATTCACTCTCCCCAAAACCAGAAGGATGTCAGTAAACAACACACATCTGTGGCCAGGATCTTCTGAAACTGTTGAGAAGAAACAGGCAAGAGGCCTGCTAGGATCCTTGGTCTTCTGAGTTACAACTGGGCTTGTTCTCAAGGATCATGTTGCCTCACTGAGAGGCTGAAAAGGAGCCAAGCGCTCCAGATGAGAAGCAACCTTGGCTGGGCTTGCAATGAGGTTGCGATTTGAACCTATGCATGGAGAGTACGATGGACTGATTAGCAGTGCAGCACCTTCAGCACTCATTGATCTCATCAGCCAGTTGCAATGTCTGTAGTAGCAGCTTCTAATACTCTTGCTCTTGCTAATCCTTCACTAACCCCTGCTCTTGCTGATCCTGCTGATCGTGCTCCTCCTGCTGTAGTTGATACTCTTCCACTTACTGCTCTTGCTGCTGCACTTACTGTACCTGCTACTACTGATCTTCCTAATGTGTATGCTTCTGCTCTGCTTTTGCTGCTTCTTCTGCTGCTGCTCCTGAAGTGCTCCCCTAAGCTGAGACGTCTCTGTGGCTTGAAGGCCAGGCACTAAGAAGGGCAAAATGGTGCAGAGGCTAGGCATCATGTCCCAGTGGACCAAGCTGAAGGGGTGGGGCTCTCTTGCACTACGACAGACAACTCCTAGAAGGGCTGTTTACTTAGGACTGCGACCATCAAGACAGACTGATTCCAGCCCTCTGGATCATGCAGGCATGGTAACAGAAAGCTGCCCACTTTGGCACAGATACAGTTCAACGGCCTTAAAAACCCAAGCTGTCTATACAATGTGTGCTATCTTCTATATCACAGCCTAATGACAGACATTTTGCAAACACACTCTCTCAGCCAACAGAAGACCTTATGTCCAGTGAGCAGCTGGGAGCTGGCACCTTCTTAGAGGGTAAATGCACGAAGTCTCTTCCTGCCTCCAGCAATGGAGCCCTGAGGGTTGCCTCTGTCTTGCCCCTTGGCTTTCTGTACCTGTTGCAAGACAGGCGTTGCCCCGTGTGGAAAAAGTGTAGGAAAGCTGACTTTCTACAGGCTGTGCAAGATACTTTGGCTTGACGTTCTGGCTTCTTAGCACGGTGTTTATACAAAATTCCAAAAGCGGAGAGACAAGATGGTTGTGCTGCCTTTGCGAGGGACCTAGATCAACTTTGGAAAAACCTCATCATGCTAAAAATGAAACAAGGGCACTGCTTCCCCACGGATGGTGGAGGAAGAAGCCCGGTCATTGTTTAGAGAGTGTCGGCAATAGCCCCGGAGCCTTGAAAAGAGCTACGGCTGACAAAGAAGGCCACCCAAGCCCCGTTTCAGGTGAAAGAAGCTACGCCTTCCCACGTTCCCTCCCAGAAGAGAAGTCAGGCGTGGTTGTCAGTTCCGGGCCATTTGTGGAGGACGAGGGAGGAAAAACTAGTGCAGCCCTCTCCACAAAATCCACTCGGAGCAGTGAGGAGACAAGAGGCAAAGGGAACTGAACTGAGACTTACCGATTTCACAGAGGAGAGCAAGGCCCAAGCAGAGGATAGAGCAGCTGGGAGCTGGCACCTTCTTATACTGCAGCCCAGCGCCTCGAGGCAGCTGAAATGGCATGATCGTGAAGCCCAGGCAGAAAGGGTAATTTGGACTTTCAAAGCTCTGCTGGCAGATGAAAGACATTCCTCCTTCCCCTGAAATGTTGGGCTGTCTTGTTGTGCCACGTAAGGCGGAAGAGAGTTGCTTGACGGCAGATCTGTTTCTGCCTCAGACCAATTCTCCATTTGAGGGCTCATTGCAGGTGCTGGTGAAGACGTGCAGAAGGCTCAGGCCACGAGCAGGGGTTGCGCACATCCTCCCCTTGCTGGGGATCATGGCCACCACTTAGGACTTTTTTTTAGGAGCACTGATGAAGGGACGTCTCGAGCGTTTCCATTTGACAGGCGGAGGCCGAGCCTGAGCAACAGCGGTGCCCGCAGCCTATGGAGGAGCTCAGAGCACAGGCAAGCCTCTGCAGGAGGACTGCCCTGCAGGACAGGTGCCCTGCAGGAGGACTGCCTCTGCAGGACAGAGCCTGGAGGAGGCTCAGATGCGCTGGGGTGGGCGGAAGGCGGTGGTCAGACAAGGTCCCCTGCAATCTGGATAGAAACCCTTGTGTGTGTGCAGGGCGAGGGACCCTGAGGCCAGTTGCTGCAGTGGGTCAGGCCTCCCCGTGGCAAGTCTCTGCTCCCCTCCGGCCTCAGTGACGCATGCACTTTGGTGCCATGCAAAGGGCAGTTCAGCTGTTGCCTTCAGCCACGGAAGGTCAGAGTGTTTTCTTGGGGAAGGGCGCAGCACGTGCCTTACCCGACTAGCCGTACTGATTCCACAGCTGAGGAGAGGCCAGAGCTGCACGGGGCCCTGGAGAGTGATGAAGGAGGCTGCTGAGTCATGCCCGAAAGTGAGCCGTAACCAGGAGAATCTGCTGGCTTCAGCACTGTCTTGCCAAGCCACAGTCATCTTGGCACCGTTCCCTGGTGGGTTGTTTTTCCGGTCACTGACCCAGAGGCTCTGGCTTGTTTTCTCTTGCTAAGGGACAGCGAGGCACATGCAGTGCCCTTTAATTGCAAGGTGGCATCAGCAGACCGCTTTGCGCTTACCTGTGAGTCACCAGAAAGTGCTGAGGCATTGTAAGAAACCTCAGGTGAACCTCGGTGTGAGTCATCCACACGCTGGTATCCGGCATACTGGGGACAAGGCTTCCGGTGTGTAAGTGACTCTGGTCACGACCCCACGTCCTTGTACTTGCAGAAACATAGCCTTCCTTGCAGGG